GAGGGGGGGGGGGGGGGGGGGGGGGAGGGGAAGATTTTTTGCTTCGTAGTTAGACTTTTTGAATGGAAGGCCAGGGTAACATATGGCAATGTATGAAAGACTTGTAGGGCTGGACCGCCTATACAAAAAAAAAAGAAATATATAGCTAAGAATTATTATTTTTTTTTTTTGGGTCAGAAGTAGCTAAGAATTCAAACAAATATATAATATATAAATGCTGGCCCGAACCGAACACGAAACCTAGTCATTTAGTCTCATAATTATCCGGCAAGCAAACGGATAAATGGGAAAAAGCAACATCGAGTTCAAAACCAACCAGAAAGCGAATGGAAAATCAAACCCAGAGTGGAAAAACCCATAAAGATTGAAGAAACTTGGGCATAAAAACTATGCACACATCCAAATGTAAGAAAAAAAAAACAAACAAAACCCAACACTCAATACGAGAAACACAACAGTGTTGTCGTTAAAATCCTCAAAGGATAATAATCAAACAAAAGTCATAGTTGAAATTCTCGAACAAGCAACATCTGATCAATATCTTCCTTCATACACTTGTTTCTCTTTCTCTCTCCATTTCTAGTTCAATGGGTGTTAAAAACGCTAGAAAAACATGAACAATAAGGATCGATGGGTTTATAATGGCGGCCAAATGAATAATTTTTTTTTAGAAGAAGAAAAGAGTACCCAGTCTTAAAGACTCATTTAGATAGATGTTGAGACTTGAGAGAGAGTGATCAAGAGAGTACTTAATTTTAAGGTCTTGGTGGTGGGAAGAATTGCGTACCCGCCATGAATGGACTGAATGGAGTTGGATAGAGAGAAGGGTCAAGCATCATGACACCTTGGTTGCTGGCTGTGGTGGTGGCAGCGGCGGAGGGGTTGGTACTGGTAGTGGCTGCTGTGATGAGATTTAGTGGTTGTTGAACTTGAGCTCCACCGCCACCGGAGGAGCTCTGGCCTAGTGTATATCCACTATGATCAGGACCTTGATGGTAGAGAATTCCTTGGAAAACATGGCCCCCAATGTTCACAGCAGTTTGATAAGCATACTGGTTATCTGCATCATCCATGCTCACTCTTAAGCAGCGAAACACCGCCTCAGAATTTACTTCTGCCGGAAAGTGACCAACTTCTAACCCTAATCAATCAAAACAAACCTTATGTAACAAATCAAAGCACACAAGACGGAGAATTTCCAAGGAAAAAAAAAAAGAAAGCATTTTTACTTACTCCACAGGCATTTTCTCGTTAGTTTTACTCTTTAACAGTATGAAAATGAAAGAAAATGAGGTGGATGGGTGGGTGGGTGGGTGAGGGTGACCATGGAGGGTAGAGTAATAGAGTTCAGCCGTTACACGCAAAATATATGGTCCGGTTTTGCGGGTTAGTACAAGATTATTAAATAAATCCTTTCTACGTTCCATAGATCTCTCTATCTTGAACAGTTCTTGGATGTTCTTCTAATACCCATGTTGAAATTTCAATTCAAGAACCCATCAAATCCATGGTATTTAATTTCCAATTTGGGTTTGTTTGTATTGAAAACACCAACAATATTACCTGGATTCTCTCTCTGCCTTTTGGGATTCTCTCCTCCCAGAGTCAACTGTTGTTGCTGTTGCGGTGGTGGTGGTTGGTGGTGTAAACCGGCGAGTTGGTGTTGCTTCTCGCGCCTTTTGGCCGCAGGAACCCAAGTACTCTTAACATGAGTTTGGCACTGAAACCCTCGGCTCTTACAGCAACTCCTACATCTCATATGAGCACAGTCCTTCTTGGCTTGGTTCCCACAGTCTTGGCAGTTCATACCCGGCCCTCCTCCTGTTCCAGCTCCTTGCCTCATCACCCTAAAAAATCCCGATCTGTACGATGAATCATCACCAACGTTGTTATTGTTGTCCCTGATGATTCTCCTACTAGGACCCACTGAGAAATCTACATCTAACAGTTGATGTTGTTGGAGCTTTTGTTGATGTTGATGATAGTACTGTTGCCATATCTCAAAACCCTTGCTGTAGATCTCTTCGTTCTTGAATAGAAACAAGTTGTGGGTAGTGTCTTGCTCTTGCTCTTGCTCTTTTCCACCTAGTGAGAAGAACCCAGACATTTTCTGCACTTACAAGCTAATTCTGAGCTCAATTTTGAAAGAAAATCCATAGCAAAACCTCAATCCAAAGAAGTGGGTTATCAAAGAGTGAGAGATCTATGATTTTGATTTGTGGGTTTGGACTGAGGAGTGTTGGTGGGTTGGTTTGTGGTGTATTGTGGGTTTCTCTCTCTCTTCTCTCTGGTATTGTTTTGGGGTTCTTTTTTTGCAGCTTTTCACGACAAATTTTAGGAATTATTTAGGGCAAGGAAGATCGTTCTTTCTCTTGACTGCTGCACTTGAATTCTCTGTCTTTGTTTGATGCATTAAAGTCACAGCCCTGCAACGCCGCCATGGCCACTGCAACCCCCTCTGCCTGCAACCTCAATTTAAGACAAACAACAGTACCATTCTCTCTCTCTCTCTCTGTCTCTCCACACACACAAACACAGCCCTCACTGTTTCTCTCTCTTTACAAACACTCGGCTGGTTTTACGCAGAAAATCTACGACTCACCACTACTTCTACAGTTCTCTTGCAGTTCGCAATAAAATCTCATCAAGAACCATCGAATCTCAGCCCTCGAATTTTAATCAAACGGCAGTGATATAATCCACGTGGCAAACCATCAGCTTTTGCTTATTCGTCCTTGCACCGGAAAACACGCTCTGCTTTTTTTCCTGACCCTCTCCTATAAATCAAAATCTTTTATTAATTTTTAGTGAACCAAAAGAGGAAGCACACGTTCATTTCCATTTTCAATTTGATTTTTTTCGTCAGACACCCATCAATCCTACCATCAAAGTATATTGATCCAACGGTCACGAAGGTTGCTGTGGCGATGAGCATCACAATCAATGGAGAAAGTTATGGGGTTTCATGTGATTTTTGAGACGATTTATATCAATGCATAATTTGTTTGTCGATTTAATATACCATAATCATTAAATTTATAGCAAATTCGAACAAATACTAGGGTTACCAATACAATAATTATAAGTGATTAAGGCAATAAATTAAACATAAATAATATTACTCGATTTATATTAAATTTCACAAAAATTAATCTCGAGTGTGGAAAACTAGGTTTTTCATAAAATTATTTTTTAACTAATCCAAAAAAAAATTAATCGAAGTGGACATAAACTGATTAAACGTCTTTGACAATTCTTAAAAAAAATATATATATATATATTTGTACACACCACCACCTCGTATTCCACTCTAATCCTATGGTTAATCATATTGTGTTTGACTTGAGAGTAGTGTTTCTTTAGAATTTTGAGAGAATCGGTGAGGCATTATGGTGGCTATAGTTAGAGGTCAACACCTTTGATAGTAACATAAGTGATATATGATGAAGAAGTCCTAAGTAGGCCATGTATATATCTCATTCAGAAAGGATATATGATATAAAATAGGGTAAATTTCAATAAGTTCATTTAACGGTCTCAAATAAATTTATCTAACAGCTACCAACATCTATGTCAAAATTATTCATATTATATCGTACTTTCAAACACTAGTTATCCCTAATATATATATACTAACAATAATCTTGTACTTGAAGATATTTTGTGATACTAAAAAACCAACATTGACCATGCTAAATTCATAAGGGTATTTATTCTTAAAACACGAAACAATATTTATCGATTATTTAATAAAATAAGAAAAGTTAAAAAATTTGCATGGATAATATTTGTCGATTAATACCATTTTAATGTCATTATCGATTCAAACACAACAACTAAAATAAATTCCTAACTTTATCATTTTAAATTCAATATAAATTAACATAATATGGTTTTAGTGAGAATTAACTTAAACTAATATTGATGTAGAATCTGCAATATTCTATTAATTGATTTTAAGAATGCAAAAGAATGAAAAAGTTTTGGTAACTATAGGGTAAGGATAAAATTGAAAAATAATACAATTAGGACTTAATTGAAATAAAATATTGAAAATAGAATTTCATTGATATAAAACAAAAATGATAGCACTTAACATATATGTGTAAGAAAAAGTAATACTTATTGGTAATTTTTTCTAGATAAATAAAAAAAAAAAAAAGAAGAGAGAGAGGAAGTTGTAGATTAATGTGGTTGTTTTAACATTGAATAGTGTATAAGTTAAATTGTCTGGCATTAGAGACCAGACTGTAAAAAAAAATATTTTTGAATGAAAAAATCAAATGTGGGACGAATTTTGTACCATTAGATCAAAGTAAATAAAAATTATCGATTTTTACATTTTAAGATTGATAACTGCAACCACATCACCAAGAAAAGAAAAGTTTTAAAGATGAGACCCTTCTCCTCGCTGAATATATCAGGCCTCGGAGTTGTGATTTATTTTCCTATTTTGTGCTAATTGTATTATTGTTTTGTTCCTATAAATATATAAACTTCACTTGTTTGTCAAACTTTGAGTTTGTACGACGTTGTACGTACCAAACTTTTCCAATAAACTCCTACTATGCAGATGAAATTAATCTAGCCTTCTGGCCTTGATGTTTTTGCTAGGCTTATTAGCACCTTTAAACATACAAAAAAAAGCCCATATCCAAGCTGAAAAGCATAGGAACGACAGTAGATTCATTACTGCAAATTCGGCATGAACAGTTCATCAATATTAATAATATATCTGCATCAAATTAACTGCAGTCGTTGAATTAGTGATGGAACCTACTACTGGTCTAATAATTATAATTGATTTGGTGCAAGTTTTTTTGGTACACATTTTTTGTGCACATAGCATTACTAATATTAATATAGATTCACTCTAAAACAAAAGACATTGTAGTTAGGCATGTTGATCGTGTCCGATGAGGGAGATTCATATTGGATCTTGACAAATTTGTACCCAAAATCACTTCACTCATACCCAATTCTTTTATTAATTTGTATTTAGTGGGTCATGTCATATCTTTTTCATGCTGTGTATAACCAGTATATAAATGAATCGTGTAATATATTTCTATTGATTGAGTTTACTTATACCTGATTTTTTTATTAATTGGGTCGGATCGAGTCAATTTATTTATTAAACAGGTGGTTTAAGATCCAAATCCTCTAAGTTTTGTGTTGTATTATATTTTAACACCCGTAATTACAATATACATGCACAAGACTCTTGTCATATATCAATACCATGGATGATAATTTTTTCCTCAATTGATAATCATATTTATTTGGAACTTTTCTTTTATCAATTCCTAATAACCATTTTTTTTTTGGCAAGTACATTACAATTAGTTATAGCCTTTTTTTGAATACTAACCGTTTTTTCTCTTTCTTTCTCTTTTTGGTTTATGATACATGAACTTGCCTATAGGGTTGATAACTGAGTTAACCATTGTGAGTTTGAGTTTGAGGAGAATCTATTATATTCATTTTTTTAAATAAATTTAAAAAATTATTCAAATTTGACTCTTTTAAAAAACGAGGTAAAATCAAATAGTTTAACTACTTTACATAAACAGTTGAATTTCGCAAATTTGACCCGAGTCAAGCGAACTTAAAAAATATTATTTAAACTCTATTTATTTAAAATCTGGACTGAATTTAAGTAATTTGACTCGATTGTCACCCTTCCTCGCCAATAACCATAACCTTAAAGTCCAAGCCGCCTACAAACAACGCTAAGGTCTCTATTTCACCAAAGGGTTCAGCTAATAGAGATATAGTAACTCTTTGGCACAAAGAATCTTTTAATCAAACACGTGAGGTGCACTAATTAGCGGCCTTTAATCATACGAATTGCAAAAAAATAATGACGTACGGACCAATCCGGCCCAAATCCCAGCCGTATTAGGCCCCCTGACAAAAAACGGTTAGGACCTAAACGTGCGTAATCAATACTAAATCTAGTGAAATTCAATGATAATTATAATAATTTGATATTATTTTAGGGGCCCGAGGTCCTTCTTTTATCATTTGACCCTCTTCCTATGCTACTACTAGGCTATAGCATTATGTCCCTGTCACACATAGACTATACTCCATGTGCACCCACATTATTATTACTAATTATATCAGGTACCTATGGTTGATCATAAGGAGGCATGCACACTCTTGGTGCTGATTTTTTTTTTTAGGTTATTCGCAAAGTGTATTCTGAAAGATTTTTTAAATTTTATTTTATATTTTTAAGATCAAAAATTTTAATTTATACCCTTAAAGATATAAATTTATATCAATGTATACACCTCAAACTAACAATTTGTCCGGTCTAAAACTAAGTTGGTAAAATATATTTAGACTCTCTTATGTTTGTCATTTAATTACCTGAACCCTCTAACATTTAAAATATTATGCTTACACCCCTGAGAATCCAAATATGACTAAAAGTGTTCTCTAATTGGACATCCAAATAATTCTATTCAAGTGATGTATTGTATTGGATATAAATAATATTATATAATACCAATAATCTTAAACATTATATAATATCTGCATTGCATTAGATATTCAAATGATAAGTTTGAATTTAAATTTTAGAATACAATCGGCCCACAAAATAAAAGGATAGTATTCAAATTATAGTTGTTTATTAGGATGACATCATGTTTTTTAGTAGTTACATTAATGGATATTGATGATAGGGAGTTATGTGTTATATGTGTATAAACGTCAGAGAGTGTAGGTGCAATATTCTAAATATGAGGGGTCAAGTGATTAAGTAAAAAATTTGATGAGGTCTAGGTGTAATTTATTCATTTAATTTTAAACGACAAACTAATAATGGTTAATTTCAAGTGCACGTTGATATCGATTTATATTTTTGAGGGTGTAAATTAAAATTTTTTATCTTTAAGAGTACAAATTGAGATTCGAGAAATATTTCGGACTGCAATATGTGATTAATCATTCTTTTTTTTTTGTTACATGATGATGGGGCTTATGCCGATTATTCCACCGAACTCCAATCCTAGCCACCGTGATCAAAGCTGAGTTTAGAATATGTCCGACAAGGAACATGGTTCACTCTTGACCCTGTGACCAATGAAATAAATATTTTATTTTTGGAGTCTGACAAATATATGTAAAATGCTCCAACCTGGTTTAAATCTAAATCTATTTACTAAAAGTAATACACCTCTTCTGTTTAGTACACTACCCTAATTTGTTAAAATAATCGTATAGTTGTCTTGACTTTTTGTAATTTTTAGTAAGTCAAAATTCTGCAACGCTATATCAAACATAAAAAGATGGAAACTATAAAAAAAAAAAAAAATTTAAACTAAAAGACG